ATAAACTAATATTTAGAATTTCAAAACTCTTGGTTTGTCCGGATTAAAAGATTGATTGTTCATATTTCTTGTAATGCAAAAGATAATTGTTATGGTAATATGTCAGTTAAAACAGTAGATGTAGCTATTCATAATTTCTATTTTGTTTTTTCTCTATTTTTTAAAATTTCAGACCTTAAATTTTTTTTTTTCCCTTTTCTTCGCAGATGACAAGTCCAGAAGATACAGTCTGCGGATTGGATCCGATCCAATCCGTCATTTCACGGATCCGATTCAATCCGATCCGTGGACTAACGGATTTGTGGCGGATTCAAAATCTCCCAATCCGTTGCGAGCGGATCGGATTAGAATTGATGCCTAATCCAATCCTATTTGATCCGTGGCCACCCCTACTTCCAATATGCCAATTGGTTCCCTGTACTCTAGATACATGTGGGACAATCCTTAAATTAGTTTTCGAATGATGCTTAATTTCTAATTGAAAATTACTAAGATCGCATTGCTGGGCTAAAAGAACAAATTGAGAACGAAGTGTGGAATAATTACTGAATAAGCTTTTTTAACGGGTTCAAAGGATACCAAATTTTTGGGGTTCGTGAATAAGCTTTTTAAATTTTTTTGCTCTGTTAATTTTTTTTCTTTTCAATTTAGGGGGATTTTTTCATAAGTAATAATTACAAATTTATGAACAATTTGACTGTTGGAGATTGCAAGGAAAATATAAGAGCTTAAGGAAGAGAGAGATTGATAAAAGTATTGACTAACTATGGTACATTGACTATTAAGGTAACAAATATTAACTATGGTTAAAGTCTGATAAAGTAATAACGTGTAATTGACTATTTGACTACTGGTCCGTTGAAAAATCCGGTTTTTTGGACCACATGAGAGCCTTCCTGTATATATATATATATAGTCTAGAATATATATCTCTCCTCACTTTCTCTCTCTAAATTATTTTACCAGCGAGAGAAAGCTTTCAGCCATGAGTTCCGACGAAGGGCAGCGATCAGATTCCAATGACGAAGAAAACTTGAAATAGGGTTTGACCCATAAAGAATTTGTACGCCCCTTTATATCAACACAAAGATTTGTGCTCTTGCCCTATTCTCTTTCTCTCCCTTTCTACATATACATAATACTATGTATATATATTGTAATTGCAGATCTTTCGAGTTGAATCTCAACCGATCAAGTTCTATGAATCCATGGTAGTCTTGTTATGCAGATTTTATTTCCCTGTACATAATCCAATTGATATATATATATATATATATATATATATATATATATATATATATATATCATAAGAATACATTCATTTGATCACTGCTTGAATTCTTCTTTTCGCTGTTATTCTGAATCACAATTTTATTAGTATATCATATCAGCAATCAATTGGTTGACTCTCAGATTTGGTTTAGAGTGAAAAAATTATAATTTTGGAAGAAAAAAAGATGAATTACCAAATTAAAAAAAGATTAACTACCAAAATCAATGGCGTAAAATCAATCTGGGTTATGCCTATATTCATTGCTCCTCCATTGTTGCTGCAAGTGTAAATTAACAATCTCACCATTATTATGAGAACTTTAATCTATCCTATGAAAGATCTTATTTTTGTGTACCAGAGATTGGATCTCTCATGGACGACACCCAATAAATAAATAAATAAAAAAAGAAAAGAAAAAAACTTCAATCAATATATCTTATATATATGTTTTTGATAAGGAAAAAGTGAGATGGTTGCTGTGTTGGTGGTGACTGCGACGACGGTGGAAGGAAGTGGCGGAAGTGGGAGGTGATGGGAGTACGTTGAGAGAGAAAGAGGGGTTGTGGCGGTGGTGTGTGGATTGAGGTAGTGGTGGTAGAAAAAGTCGTTGGTGGTGGGAGGAGACGGCGATGGAAGAAGTCGCCGGCGGAGGGAGGAGATGGCAGTGGAAGAAGTTGCCGGCGGTGAGAGAAGGTTGTGGCAGTGGTGAGAAGATGAGGGAGATGTAATACCCCTAATTTTAAAAGGATAGTCTCGGTATTTATTTATTTATTTTTATTGTATTTTTTTAATTGTTTAATTGATTATTTGACTAATTGTTTATGTGTTTAATTGAATTAAGTGTTACTTGATTAATTGGCTACTTCTTTATGTGTTATTTGTATTTTGTCTAGGTGTTATTTGTATTATTTGTTTAATTAGATTGTGTGCTTAAATGATGTATTTGATTAATTGTAATTAATTGTAAATTAAATGATTAAATGTTTTGTTTTATTTTATTTTATTTTATGGTTATGGTTAGTGGTAATGTGCTAACTAATTGGGTCCTATGGACTACTTGGATAGGAGGTTGGATGGGTATGGATTATTACCCAAGGATAGTTCTATATGTATATATATAAATATATATGTATATACATATAAATAAAAAGAAAAATAATTTATTAATATTATAGTAACTTTAGTATTAATAAATAATCAGATGTATATATTTTATATATTTATATAATAAGGATACGTAACATGTTTTAAGTTACCTTTTTAATATTATGGTAATTTTAGTATAAATAAATAATCTGATGTATATATTTTATTTATTTAATGAGGATATAGATAGATTATATACGTAACATGTTTTAAGTTACCTTTTAATATTATGGTAACTTTAGTATTAATAAATAATCTAATGTATATATTTTATTTAATTAATAAGGATATACATAGATTATATACTTAACATATTTTAAGTTACCTTTTTAATATTTTCATTTTTATTTTTCTTTATTAAGTTAACTTGGATTGGGAAAAGGAATAGGGTTATTATTTAGCCTATAAATACACAACTATAGGTTGAAAGAGGAGTGAAAATATATCACGTAATATATTCTAGAGAGAGAGAGTTAGGGAGAGAAGGAGAAAGAGGAAGGAAGTATGAGAAAACCCTTTAGAGAGAAGATCGAGGAAGGAAGAAGTTTAACTCTCAATCTGAAAGTTTAAGGCAAGTTCTTCTTCTATCTCTTTCCCTTTGATTCGTGTTTCTATACATGCCTAGGAAATTTCAGGATTTATTGAACACATAAAATTAAATAATTATGCATGTTTAATTGGATTAGAACATATGTTTTATGAATTTGATTCATATCTGTTCTTGTGTTTTGAAATTAATAAATGCATGATTTTGATTTGATTTCCGGTGTGAATTTTTACATGTTTAAATTATGTATATTTCATATCGGTGGAATGATGGAACGTAGAAACATGCCTAGGATTCCTGAACATTAAATAGGAACTAGGTTTGGGTTTAAATAAATTTAAATAAACTCAATCATAATGATGCTTGCTATTTGAATGTTTTAAACAAACGAATGAATTTAATATTTTAATATGTTCTAATAATTGAGATTAAATGTGTATGATGAATTGGATATGGAGAATACTTATTTGACGGTATAATAAAATATCATCATATGTATAAGATTCAGTTTATGTATGACATATGATATAGGAAACTTAAATAAATAATAAGTCATTCCTATTTTGTGATAACTTGAAGTCATATTATCATAGTTATTTCTGGATTGTTTGATGTATTTTTTTAATCGTTACATCAATTGTTGAATTGTGTGATTTAATGCACCGGTATGAGACGGTGGCATTCTAGGGACGGATTAACTTATCAGTTAAGTCCTACCTATTTTATATAAGGGAATGGATTAACTAAAATATTAAGTCCTACTTATATTCAAGTCAAGTCAGCTGAACAAGTTGAATGACTTATGGATGATTAATCTATTATATAAGGGAATTGATTAACTAAAATTTTAAGTCATACTTATATTCAAGTCAGGTCAACTGAACAAGTTGAATGACTTGTGGATGATTAATTTATACCGGATAGGATGGTTACTAGATTTTATATATATAAGTATGGTGCCATGATATGAGCTTGAGTCTCAGGATCAATGGTTAGGGTGCGTATATCGCCAGGGATGTGTAGCTAGATATAGTGTAGTTGTGTACCCTAATTTAGGTATTCATGCCCACTATATGTGCGTTTTGCATGTTACCTACTATTCAGGTTGAGACAACCCTATAGTCTAGTGAGGTTCCTTTAGTGTGTGTATATATATATATACGGACTATTAGTTACTGTTAGATTGACTAGGATGTATACGTGTATCGGATCTCTGCTTGGACTGTAGTAGAGTAGAACTTGTTTGTGGGCCTGACCCACCATTATTTTTCAGGTGTTCGTCAGAAATAGAGGTTGTTCATGCTGAGCAGGGATCAGTCTACTTCATTCTTCCGATGCTACATAGGAGTTCCTTTACGATTCAGTTTCCTGATTTAGACAGTTATTGCTGTCATTTGTTTAGTTTGGATTTTCTAGGGGTCCACACAGTATGGATTCCCGAGTTGTATTTTGGAGGATCAGTTGTATCAGAAGAGTTTATTAATTAATGGAAATATATTCTGAAGTTTATTATTAGATTATCGTTTTAGTTTCTTGTCAACATTTTATTTATTCTTCTTTATTCTTTTGTACTCTGTGTTCGTTTATTATCAATTTGTTTTGATATCCTCGGGTATTCGGGCGTGGGCCTGGCCAACCCGCATTCGAAAATCCGGGGGGGGTATCACAGGAGATATATGCGGGTAATATAAGCACGTGGATTCCTTCGCGTCTGCTAGCTTCCGGTACTTAAGAGTGCAGTTGTGATGTCATGCTTATTTAATAATTTATGGGTACTTTAGTAATTTCAGATGCTAAGGAAAGGGTATTTCAGTAATTTTGGCAGGTCCGTCGGTGTATTTAACCGTTCGTCACACATAAGGGAGGTCCGTGTAGATTGTTTTCATTCTTAGGGGAGGTCCGCGAAATTTCCGAAACACTAGGGGTGGTCCCTGTAATTAGGGCAAACCATAGGGGTGGTTTGTGTAAATTACCCAAATATTAATACCAAAACTACACCGCGCAAACACGGCATCGTTTTTGCTTGCCCGAGAATATCTAAGCTGATTACGGTACCGTCGTCGTCACCGTTTAGGGTTTATATTGGAATATTCAGAACTTCACAAAATTTCTCAAGCGCTGGACAGATCTCACAGTACGCCCGCTACAACATGCAAGTCTCTCTCTGTCTATATATATGCGCGCACATACTTACATATATTATTTTGGTGAAGGGTATGTGGAAATGCATTTGGGGGGCTTTTGTATATATAGAAGCAGTAGAATGGAGTGGCATCTACTGCCATCCGTTCATCAAATTTATTGACTTGGATTTGGTTCTTCGGTAACTCAAATCGATCTGGGAATTTCGATTTGGGTTACTGAAGAACACGACTAGTATGGGAAGATGATATATTCAACAGGCATATAACAAAGTGAAATATTAACGGCTAGGTCTTGGTAGTAATTAAGTTGATAGTTCAGGGTTTAATCAATTTGGCATAATACAAAATGGATATATCTGTTTCAATTAGTTATTTTTACACAATTGAAACATACCGTATATTTTTTTGCACAAAATGCATTAGTTTTATCAATGTTCTTGAAAATCGTGGTATGCAAATTGAATTCAATGACCAACTGACTGATTGAATTAGTATTATCTTTTTAAGATTCCAGAAATGCTGTCGGAAGAAGCGGACGAGGAGGATTTTCTTACCTTAAAAAAGGTTAGCCTTTTACATTTGAGGTTTGTCCATGGTAAATTCTTAGTTTGTTTACTTAACAATCTACTGACTTGTATATATGTACATATATGTGCATACATGTATTTACAGATTTTTGAACTCGATTATTTCATAAATTGCGTAGCTCTGCCTTTAAAGAAGTTTTCTTCCTCCTGGTTTTTGTCTGTTAATTTGTCAGTTTTTCTACAATGGCGATAGTGGATGTGTATGGTGTGACTGTCAAATGGATTCTGCATCTAGTGATGTAGTTTCCAAAATTGTTGTTGATTTCATAAAGTCGATTTTAAGTTAAAGGAATTTTGAAACCCAAAAGATGTGGATTTGAAAGGCATTTAGTGAATATGCTTATTTATTTGCCAAAATATTTCATGCAAACATTATTGCACTACCGATTTTAGAAGGTCGAGGTTAAGTTCACGGTTTTTTTTGTCTTGAACGTGGTTCTCCACACTATTTGTTTCAGTGGTATTGCTGTTGAAAAGAAGCATACCTGTTATATCTTTTGAATTGGCTATTGAATGGCTCTCTGTAAAAACTGAGATCTTATGTCTGGTGTAAAGGTTGAAGAACACAAGCTCCACAGACGCTAGAGATATGTATATAAGGAGTGCAATGTCACATGGACATCTCAATTGTGTGAACAACCCATGTCTACTTAAAGATGACACTGGTGTGGGCATGAAATATGAATTCTTCATGCCTTCCTTTGGATGCTCATGCAACAAGCAATCTCTACAAAGGATAAAAGGAACATATTCCTTACTCATTGTAAGTTCCATTGGAATGCTTTCTTAATTATCTTCTCTACTGCATGAACATATTATTAGTGCCCATGTCATACATTCTACAGATACACTATTCTTGTTCTAAGGTAAAGAAGAAAAGAAAAAGAAACTCTTATTTTTCATCCATGCAGCTCATATCCAATTTTTTTGGAATTGATTGTATCTAACAACTTAATACTCATGCCAAGTGATTATTGTAAAGAAGTCAATGATCAAAGAGAGGGGGTTGAATTGGTCAGGCTTTTACTAAAAGTATAATCTGTTTTTTCTTTTTATTTTGTTAAAAAGAACACAGATATATTAAAGTCGAGGCCAGGATCTGCACAAAGTGGAAGAAGGATAGATTCTTTTAGGGCACAAAAGTGAAGAGAAAAAAAGAGAAATATAAATAAAAATTAAAATCTTGCCCATAATCCATGGAAACCTAGTCCCACAAAAACCTCTAGGAGGGTGGAAGTGACCTGGAAGAAGGAGAGATTCTTTTAGGGCACAAAAGTGAAGAGAAAAAAAGAGAAATATAAATAAAAATTAAAATCTTGCCCATAATCCATGGAAACCTAGTCCCACAAAAACCTCAAGGAGCGTGGAAGTGACCTGTGAATCTCTATCGGGAAATTCTTTGTTTTTGGAGAGCAACACAAATCCAAGATTTCTAACATTGAGTAACCACAGTAGCATGAACCACAAGATCACAATTTCATTAAACACACCATAATCACAGAATCTTTTATAATGCAACAATATGACTACCCAATGGGGAAGTTCTTGAAGACCTTCCAAAAGTGCAATAACTTTGCCGGGAGAGGAAAACCATTTCGCACCAACCTAGGGATATAAAGAACAACTCTACCAAGACGTTCCTGTATTATCTACCATTGACAAAGACCAGGAGTCCCAAGTGCATTTCAGTAAATCAACAATGCTCGTGAGGGGTGTTTTCCATTTACGGAAGGGGAAAATTGATGCACACGATAGCATCAAACAGGTTTCTGACCATTTTCAAAATTAAACTTAATGGTGCTCTATTTAAATTTATAGTCACAGAAGCCCAAAAGAGGTTAAGTGGTGCACTTTATACCATAGCTCTTCCCCATTTGGGTTGTGCACAGAAATTATTGCATTTGTTTCAGTCCTAACCATCTGAATTAAAGCATCGCATGACCCATTCTCAGAACTTTACATTTATTACTAAAACCAAAGGCACCAAGATCAATGCCATTTAAGGAACCAACTTCTTGAGGATTTCCCTAAGTTAACCCTACTCAAGAAAAAAGAAAGAAGAAGGAAAAAAAAAAAAAAAAAAAAAAATCTTCGCCAGAGTTCATAAGAAAAGGGGCAATGAATAATGACCGTGTATTACTTTATAATCTTCTTTGGGATTTGCCAGCCTTTATTATCTTGTTTTATGCGTTTTTGGCAAATGGACCCCAATTTGAGAATTACAACAAGCGTGTCTTTATAAGAGCCTGAATCTTACATTTATGCCTTGCAAGTTTGCACTATCACATTGTTTTATCCAGCTTTTTAATTTCATTCATTTCAAAATTTTGCTAACCTTGTTTCTCTGCAACTTGTAAGCTTGGTTTTGAATAATAACTTAACCATTCATTACTCTTCCAAATTATACTGTCCATAACCATCATCATGTTAGTATTTAGTTCATCATTAATTATCTATATATTCGGTCATATTTCACCAGTTACTCCATTATTGGTAATCAGATATCTCTTGTTATTAAAGATATTTCATTACCTTTTTCATCTATAATTTGTTTGTTCATTACAGTATAGTTTCTTTATATGTTTTTGAACTATAGTTGGTTGTCATGATGCTGGTTATTTGTGCATGTTCCTTCGCTTTTTGTGGATCTTATTGGTGTACACATATTGCTGTTACAGCTGCTTCTCACTTTTACCTCTTTGGCCATATCACATATGTTATTTTTTTTTGTCCTGCTCTACCTATGGGTCAGCTATCAGTTATTGAAACTTTGAAAATCCAAGCCTAGGAGTCAGTATAGAAAATTGTTTTGGCGTTTCTTCACGTGTCCAACCTATCAAAGGGAAAGTTTTCGAAAGTAATGCAATTGTCGGTCGTAAGACTATTTCTAGTTTTGGGTTGGAACTGAAAATTGTTTGTGAGATTCATTGTTTTCTTTTCTGAGTGCTCTCCCAATCTCTTCCCTGTGGACTAAACTCCTCAAGCAGGCTTAAGCAAGAGGATGAGCATGAATGGAGCATGCAGTAGCTCTGTGTGGACTAGGGAGCAGGATAAAGCATTTGAGAATGCTTTGGCAATCTATTCTGAGGATTTGAGTGATCGATGGGAGAAGATTGCGGCAGCAGTTCCTGGGAAAACGCTTGAGGAGATCAAACATCACTACAATATCTTAGTTGAAGACGTCAATGCAATTGAGTCTGGCTTAGTGCCTTTGCCTTCCTATGTTTCTTCTTTTGACGATTCTGCAAATCATGCAGGAGATGTCGGTGTTGGTAAGAAGAGAAGCCAGTCTCGGCAAATGCAAAGTGATTCCAGCCATGGAAGGAAGTCATCAACATCATATCAAGAACGGCGGAGGGGGATAGCTTGGACAGAAGAGGAACATAGGTAAAATACATTTGGAATGTGCAGATTTTCTGGAATATATACTCATTTGCAGCTATTCATTAATTTATATGCTTTTGGGTAAATTCTGTTTTCATTTACACTGATTATTTGGTGCCAAAATTTCATTTTAGTACTTTTCTTGGATAAAAATAATTTCTTTCTTCTTCCTAAGAAAATTATTAGGGGTGCACATATAAGTGGCCAGACCATCCGATCTGATCCGATCCATTATGTTCAGTGTGGATCGGTTCAGTTTCACAAGCAATTGGTATGGTTACGGTTTGGGTTTCATAGTTAAGAGAATCGTGGTGATTGGTTCAGTTCATGGATTATAGTCCAAAAATAAATCAAGTAAATAATATAAAAAAAATCCAAACTGATTGGGTCCGCTATCATTATATACTGTATAATATAATAGTTCTCATACTATTGGTTATCTATGTAATATAATATAATAGCTCTCATACTATTTGTTATCTATGTAAGTTTCCCATAGACCTCACCACACCTTATATAAAAATCCCATAACCCAACCCTAAGGTGATAGGATAGCACCCTATGGTTGGATTGCTTGGGGCTTTGTTTCAATAAAGGTTAAATTGCTAAACGAACCAATTCGAACCCTAGTGCTATGGTTTGGTTTAGACAGTGTGATCAGATCGGATCAGTATATATATATTAAAACTGTTGAGATTGGATTGGTTCCAAAATATTATTAAACCAGTCCAATCTGAACCGTGTGCACCCCTTTAAATTATTGTGCTGGAAGTTAACATTTTTAAGGAGTTCTTTGATATATAAACACGTTGTTTGTTGATTGCTAATTTCTTCAGTTGGACAGTGATCTAACAGTCAAATGGTGGTCGACATTCCCTTATTGACTTTAACACATTAGTGGCTTGAAAAATTTCAAATCAGCATATTGGTACTAAACCCATAACTAAATCATCATTTAAATTGGTATGGGTAAGATACAATGGAATTGCTATTTCAAAATTTAACCGATTGATACATTGATGAACAAGGTTACTTAATTTGAGAATCAATTAAAAAGCTGATGCTTTAGGCTTCAGTGTGATAGAATCAATTGAAATGCTGGTTGTACAATGGTTTAATTTTGTTTCTTTTTGAGATTTTTGAAGGGCTTGTTTTCTTAGTAGATTGTTAGGTAGAAATGAAAAATAAGGGCGTTCATAGCGTCTAAGCCACTCCTTAAGAAGTAAAGAAAACAAAGGGCTTTATTATTATTTTTTTAACCTGTTCACAAGTTGGTGTTCTTGTGTCGCCACTGTCTCATTAAAGAACAATTAAATTAAATGTTATTATCTGGTGAATTTTTAGAAAGGAGCTTGCAGCTATAACTTTGCCTGATTGTGCCTGCATTCTTTGTTCCTGCTCTCTCTTTACTTCTTGTTCCTCCTCTCAATCTTCTTTTTTCTCTTCATCTATCTGTAATCATTACTTTTACGTTTTTTTCATAATTAAAACATGCTTTAAACCATTTAAATCCTTAAAATTCTTTAAAAAGCATCTTCTACCTTTTTCCACCTTCTTCGGTCATCCCTGGAAGCTGTTTAATAAAATCATCGTTCCCTTTTATTATAATGGTCAAACACTGAGTTGAATTTTAAGTTTGAAGCATTTTGCAAGGTAATGTGATCACCCAGAAGACGAAGACTTGGGCTTAGTCAATTGAGAGTGATTTTAGCTGAAAGCATCTATGGCCCTGCTAATTTTTGTAAGGGTACTGTTGGAGCTACTACAAGAGTTGTCCCAAGGATCAAGGCTGATGGAAGTTGGAACTAAAATAGTGGGTACATTTTTATTATTTTATTTGAAGTTTTGCAACAGGATATCTCAAAAAGTTTTTTTGTTCTCCAGTTATCTCCATTTGGATTCATGTCATAAAATCCTTAACAACCTCTGGTGCATCTGGCCAAATTATCTTAGACAACCTTCCCTCAACCTGCCTTTAATAATGCACTGGCCACATAAACTTTGGCCTGATTCTTGATGATCAATTCACAATTTCTTCCATTCCCCATTAAATATTTATTTCAAGGGGAATTTGTAGTCTTAATCAACCTAGAAGTTTAGTTACCCAAAAAAAAAATTTGTAGTCTTAATCTCTGTTGCCTACTGTTTTGTTTCACATTTCACCTGAGGATATCTTTGTTGACCTAACATGACTTGGATAGGGATGCACGTGCCCAACACTTCAAAGTGATTGAAAATCTTTGGAAAGTAGATGAATCCAGCACCATGACAGACACCCGCACTTGACATCAGCACTTAAGTTACCTTTCCATTGAATAAAATCAACGCTTTCTTATTTGAGCATTCTGCTGGGATTCTTGGTTGGCTGAATTAATTTCTCTAGCATGACATACATGCCAAATGCCAATAGAAGCTTTGGTATTTTGTAATAAAGACTTGCTTAAAACTGGAAAAAAAGAAAGCAGAAGAATGAGACTGTTGTTATTTCTTTACAGAACCTAGTGTCTGAAATTTACTTTGTTATTTGCTCTACATGTCTCTTCTTGTTGCATACACAAACCCAACATATCCTTGGCTCAGTAGTAGATGTAGCTATATTTGCATGTTTTGTGGGGGAGTGTCTTTCTTTTATGCTCACTCCCTTGTTCATGCTTTGTGAGACTGTGCCTTCATATTATAGTAGTTAAGATCCACTCTTTGATTTTACCAGAGCATTTGTCATCACATATGCCCCTGTTGTAGAGGGCTTGATTTAGTCATTTCATGATCATTGCAAGTTATTCTTTCATCTCCAGTAGTTTGTAGATGTAACTCAACTCAGTTCAATTCAACAAATCATTATCCCATCTAGTTGGGGTGACTACATGGATTTTTGTTTCCCATTCTAATTTATTAATGGCAATAACTTCAGTTGGACCACAATAAATTCAGTTAGACCACATATTATTATATGTTCTTTTACAATCTCAAGCTAATTTGGACTTCCCCTTTCTATAACACTATCTTAATGTGGATAATGTCTCTGTTCATCACTGTTGTAATGAATGATCTCAAATAATCATGACTCATTTTATTGAATGGGAGTCACTTACATAGTTCTATCCTTTCTTGTCTCATTGCAAATCTGTCTAAACATCCTTATTTTGGTCAGATTCATTTTATGAATATTTTGATTCTTAACCAATTAACATTTTTGTTCCATAGGAACAACTGGTCTAATAGACTATGCTTTTTAGTTTAGAGTTATCCATTGATCCAAGGATATGTCATTAGCTTTACATTCTTCACTAATTATACGAGTAACAGCACCTCTGATCTTCTCTCCTTGTGAATGATCGAGTTCATGAAGAATCTATTCACTTTTCACTATATCTTGATCTCTACTTTCACTACATTACAATTCTATTCATGTTCTGCTAAAGTTATAAATTTAATGTATTCAATTTTGTTCCTTTTTATCTTAAACCTTCATGACTTAATTACTTATTTTCAAACCTCTAATTTATCATTTATCCTTACTTCAGTTTCATCAATTGAAACAATATTATTAAAATGTAGCATTCACCATGGAACCGCAACTTATTTATTGCATTAATTACTAAGAAAAAGAAAGAGGCTTAATACTGATTCTTGATGCAAGCGTAGTCAGATATCCACTTTTGCATTTTTTATTTTTATAGTCAAAACTTCAATTATACATATATTTTGTATATGATTTATTTCTTTTCTAACACGAATAATATATGCAAGGACCTTATCATGAGTTTTCTCCAGTTCTTTAAGAAGTATATGAATATTCTTATTCTTCACTCTACACCTTTCTCTCAGTCTCTTTCATAAGAAGATTTCGTACATTGTTAACTTACCTGAAATAAGCCAAATTGATTTTCGTACACAGTTGTTTCAACTTTCAGGTCTTGTTTATTGCTTAATTAGCTTTCTTAAGATTTATAGCATTACTCATTAATTTATGCAATGATAATTTATGCAATTTTTTTTATATCCTTTATTTTTATGTAGGTATAGAATACTTTTTGGTCTCTCGTCAGACACTTTCTTAGTTATTATGATATTATTAAGTATTTTGTTAATTTCATTGTTTTCATCTTTCTCAATGCATATTCTATCTGACACTTTGATTTCATGAGAATTTTTTTTTTTTAAAGGTTACAATATTCCTTTAAACCTGAGAATTTTTTTTTCTATTTTTCTTTTGGGTCAAATTTAATACGCTTGAATTTCTTTTTCACAACAGTTTCAACTCCCTCATTCTACCATTAAGTTTACTTAGATAATCACATTTCTTAATTTTGATTATTCCAGAACCTTTTTTTCAATATATCGGCCACCTATTCCACATTAAATTGATTTCATCCATTTAAATTTTCTGTTGCTTATTTTAGCATCTTACTCTTTAATCTTAAATGGTTCTACTATCCCTCCTAAATTCCACTACTTGGTTTTTAGATTTCTAACTTTTTGCAATTTTAATTATCCTTTAATATATATAGCTAAAACTGTCAACATAAGCTGAAAGGACAAGCTATTTCCTGGGAAAATCTTAAAGTTTTTTTTCACTATTAGTTGATTTATTCCAAGTAGGAAAATATCCATTGAACTCATCCACTTTGAAAGGTTTTTGAATCTTCTTCTTCTTTTTATTATTATTTTTATTTTATAAAACAATTAGGTTTTGGTTATCATAGGATCATATGTTACTGCAATTCAGGAATCATCCTTATCTCCAATTCCTTGTCCACAATGATCACATCCCATGACATTATTAAATGTCCATCTCTCTCTCTCCATACATAGGTATTTGACTAACAGAAGATCATATGTTACCACAAAGTATGGGGTAACCTCCCCTTAAGATCATTCTTATCCCCACATCTATGTCCACCATGCACACTCTCATACTATCATGTTCTTCTTCTATGACCATTAAAATATAATTATACAATATGCTAAGTTAATTCATCCATATGGTCACAAAGTTATGCTTTAACATGCATCGTAGTTGGGGTGCAGTACCACTAGTTCTAGTAATTATATATTCTTGCGATATAATTACAAAATCTTCTTTAAATCTGTATCTACTATTATCCTTTACTCCATTGTTTTATTATCTTTTTCATTATAAGAGAGTTTATATCCTGTCTAAAATTTTGCTATGAACTTAGATTCTTGTAAGCATATTACATTATATTTTTGTTTTAATCATACTGTCTAGTAGTTATATTTCTTTATTTGTTATTGTTCTTATGTTTCATTGTCTTATAATAGGATCTTCAACTGTGATGGTCTAGATTAGTGCAGGAACTTTGCCTCGTTCCCACCATATCCAGCTGCTGATTTGTTTCTCCTTGCCTTCCTTTCGAAGTATTAAGTAGTTGATAGAGTGCGTCATTTGAGGAAAATACCCTAATATTTATTTGAATATCGTTCATGTTCATATGATTGTCGCTGAGTAAACCATCCTCTTTTCTGGGGTTTGGAACTTGCTCTTTAAGGAGGTAAAGATAAGAAATCAACCATCACACATGCTGCACTTAGGTTGTGGATGCAATATGATTTTACTAGATAACCTTTTGTCAGTGTTCTGTTATAATTGAGCAAGGCTGTGTTATTGTCCTATAGATAATCAGGTATAATCTTATTGTCTATAGAAAAAAAGAATGAAATGTATAGATTGATGTAACACTCAATATATGACATTGTCCAACATGTCCATTTATTTTAGATTTTATTTTCACATTGATCATCTATATTTTGTGATTTTTGCTGTTCTCAAGTATTATGCTTTCATTTCTGATCTAGGCAGATTTATCATGGACTAAACCATGGAAATCATTTGTATCTGGCACATGATGCTTATCATGAATGTGGATCCTTATAATGCTTAATATTTGAGAAACTAAACTACATTTATTGATCTTTTTGTAAATTAACAATTGACTGCACAATATTTCAGGAACAGGGCAAAATAAATATTGACTTGAAAGTAGAAGGTTGGCAACATTAGTTTGATCTCTCTGTCTCTCTCTGTGTGTGCGCTTCCAACAGGTTATTCCTCCTGGGCTTGGAAAAGCATGGAAAAGGTGACTGGAGGGGCATATCTCGGCACTTCGTGTTATCTAGAACACCTACGCAGGTGGCCAGTCATGCACAGAAATATTTCATTCGCTTAAATTCAGAAAACAAAGAAAGGCGACGATCAAGCATCCATGACATAACTAGCGTGGAGAATAGAGATGCAGCAGCTCTGCTAGGGCTAATCAGAGGGCAAAAAGATGGACTTCCTGCAGGGGGGTCCTCCAGTGGATATGGGAAGCCACCACAACCTGATGCACCCAATGCTGGCCTGTTTGTTCATCCTACTATTGGCCAACCACTTCACGGACCTCTTATTCCAGCAGTTGGCACTCAAGTGAATCCCCCTTACCCAGGACAGATGGTTTGTGGTGTCACTGCGCCAATTCCTGGATCACACATTCCTTCTGCCCCAACAAACAAGGCTTCAATGACATTTCCGATGCCTTGTTCATCAAATTGGAAGGGACCGGGCTATTAACTAGTGTTAGTTTCAGCTCTAGTTTGCTGAGCGATGAGCAGAGTCTCTCTCTTTCAACTTTTGGGTCACCAATTTGCGTTTGGATTGTTGTCACAAGTTATTGACCTTAGGAAGTCTAAGAAAATATGTATTTTGCATAGACAACTATGGATGTCAGTAATGTAAAACTGGTGGAACTCTCTTTTTTCTTAAACTCCATAATTTGTTGTTGTGAAAAAACTGTTTTTGTTCATTGCTTTATGTTGCAGTATAAAGAGCATGGTCATATGTCGATTATAGCTTGTAATGTGTTATTATTCTTGGTCGAATTTCTTTTACTTTGTTGTCTAGTGTCATTATAAATTGTACACACGGTCGAGTAGGTGCCACTGGAAAAGGCATAAAGAGATGACAAGCGGTTGATTTCTGTTGGATGATTTTCATTTGATTAAAGTCGTGAAATGATGATTTGCTTTTTTGAACTTTGTTATCTTTGATTCCTTTGTGTCTGGGCACCTAAGTTTCGTATGGAATAATTAGCATCTATTAGAATTGTTGGATTGTGTTATAAATGGTTTTTATTGTCTTTGTTGGTGAAAATTAGCAGGACTTGGTGAAGCGTTGTAAACAAGCCAGTACTGAAATTGAAGAGAAGCGTAGCTCTGCCCTTCTCCCCGCATATGACGGCCAATATTTGCAGCCTCCCATTGATTGTTTTGTGAAAGAATTACAGAAGTCAGAATACTATTCTCTCTCTCACACACACACACACACACACAAATGTGGTTTTCTTCTTCTGTAGATCTCATCACAGCTGGAGTTCTTTTAAATGTGAAGGACGGTTCCATTTTTTTATATATGTATGCAAAAGATGTGTGCGCGCGCGCGTGCCAGAGAGAGAGATGCACATGAAGAGACACAAGGGGCGCCGGAGATGCTTCTGTTTACAGTTTCCTATGATTGAAAAAATGAAAGATCTAAGTAACACCCATGATGCACTTAATGAGGGGGTTGACTTGTGCATATAATATTATCATGGAGAAACTAACTTAATGAGGGGGTTGACTTGTGCATATAATATTATCATGGAGAAACTAACATCTTACTACAAACTCTATAAATTAACTACTTTCTCTGATAGCTTCCAAGTCACTCTTACAAGAGTACATAGATTGGGCACCCTAGATCTTCTCCCTCCCCAGTTAAGAGTGTTGGTGTTCTTAATTTCTAAATCATGAGCACTACCACCCACACTTCATTCCTCATCCTCTTCCTGGCTGTTTCCTTGTTTGCCAAGTCCAATGCTGATCCCTACGACACCACACAGCCACCACCGCCTCAAGCAGTTGCAGGGAAGGAGTTCCCCCAGTCATTCTCTTGCAATGACCCACTCTCTAAATGTTCCGGTAAGGAAATTTCTTGCCCCAAACAATGCCCATCTTTCAAGCCTTCTGACTCCAAGAGTAAAGGCTGCTTCATTGACTGCAACTCCAAAAACTGTGAAGCCGTATGCAAGAGTACGTAACTTCTCCCCCAATCCCCATCTATTGTGTGTGTGTGTGTGTGTGTGGTTTTTTTGTATCATTTCTTCTTCTTTTCTCACTCACTTGGAATTTTTTTACAGCCCGCAGGCCGAACTGTAATGGGATTGGAGCAGCATGTTATGACCCCAGGTTCATTGGAGGGGATGGTGTGATGTTTTACTTCCATGGCAAGACAAATGAGCATTTCAGCTTAGTGTCTGACCATAACCTCCAAATAAATGCTCGCTTCATTGGTCGTCGGCCACAGGGAAGATCGCGTGACAACACATGGATTCAAGCGCTAGGACTTGTGTTTGATTCCCACACCTTCACATTGGCTGCCAACAAGGTTGCAAAATGGGACGATGAAGTTGATCAACTCAGCTTCAGCTACAATGGTGTGCCCATTTTCCTTCCACAAGGTCACCTCTCTACTTGGGCTGCCCCGGACAACCGGCTTGTGGTAGAGAGGACCACGAGTTGCAATAGTGTTACCGTGAAAGTACCTGGAGTTGTGGAGATGTCTGCAAATGTTGTCCCCATAACGAAGGAGGATGACCGCGTACACAATTATCAGATACCATCTGATGACTGTTTTGCACACTTGGAAGTGCAGTTCAAGTTTTTGCATCTCTCCAAGAAGGTTGATGGCGTGTTGGGTCAGACTTACCGGCCTGAGTTCCAGAGCCCGGTGAAGAGAGGTGTGCCAATGCCAATCATGGGTGGGGAGGACAAGTTCAAGACATCTACTCTCGTATCAGCTGATTGTAAGTACTGCATTTTTGGGGTGGATGCTTCGGATTCTGCTATAAAGTCACTGGTTTTGGATGCAGACACGACGATGGATTGCACTAGCAAGATGAGCAATGGCCGTGGATTTGTTTGTCGTAGATAGAAAATTTTAAAAATCAAATGGTCAACAACAACTACTGGGATTGCTTAGAGTCGATATGGTTTTTCATTGTAGTAAACTTTGAGTGAAAAATATATTCTTCCAGTTGATTTTGTCATGCTTAGATTCAAAGTTGAGTTTAATATATTCAGTGAATAACAAATCCTTGTATTTACGCAATAGTACAATTCTATGTATGGACTTCAATTCTATTTACTAGAGTCAGTCAACTACATTAATAGCATTAGTGGGTTAACCCAAGGCATTGATTTCTATTTGCCAGAGTCAACAGCATTAATAGCATTAGTGGTTAACCCAGGCATTTTCTATTTGCTAGAGTCAACAATATTAATAGCATTAGTGGTTAAACCAAGGAATTGCTTTCTTTTTGCTAGAGTCAAGAACACTAATAGCATTAGTGGTTAAACCAAGGCATTGCTTTCTCTTTGCCAGAATCAACAACATTAACAGCATTAGTGGGGCTAGCCCAACGCATCGCAATATAATTTTGGACACATTAACACCCAGTATACCTATACGGGGACTCGAATCCTCAACCTTTTATTTTGAAAGTCAAAAGTACCACTAGACTACAACCCTTGATGGTTAGGGCCAATACCATTTACGGGACTTCTAAGCAATACCTTTACCATTTTGCAATTTTGCATATTGTGACTATCAAATTCAAATAAGTTTTCGGCTACAAGCCTTGCTGGTGAGGGCCAATACCATTTACTGGGCATTCTAAGCTATACCTTTACTATTTTGCATATTGTGACTACTTTCATATTCAAATCGATTTTCCTATTCAATCCAAACTTTTATAATTATGCCAAATAATAACCCCTGGATTTCAGATTTTCTGTTGCCTAGTACAATATCATTGTTCAATAGGGGCTATATGAACTATGAAGTACGGAGGAGTAGTTTTAGAATGCAGGTTGGCCTTGGATCAATTCACTTCCATGCCCAGCCAAGGCTTCAGGGTTAAATATGTAACCACCAACCAGAGTTCAGCCTATACTCGATTAAACTATGGTCAAAATGGAGTAACACAGTTTTTCAGATGTACCTTTCTTTCAATATTGCACATCACCAGATATGCTTTATTAGTCAAATTAGTACATAGACACCATCATATCTAGCTTGGCTGTGCAATGAGCTTGGGCTGGGATTCAACATAACCTGGTCAACCCATATTCATGAACCGTGCAACTTTTTTTTTTTTTTTTTGAATGGTAAAGCAAACACACACACACTTTTTTGCCCATACCCGGGCTCGAACCCCTCCCCCTCCTATTTGAACCGTGCAACTTCGCAGACTGGTAGCAGTAGCACACCTCCACCATCAAAAGGTAGTTAAATGTGCAAGTTAACCTAGATTGGCTAAAGTCTTCCAAATTCATTGAACCCAAAACTAGAAGGGGAATAAAAAATAAAGAAAAAGTAAATGATGGAAATATGCATCAAGTTGAAGACTACATCCAAAAATACCTCAAGAAAACAGACATGATCATAACCAGTCCATCACAATTTCAGTTTCAAATACTCTACCACTCATTTTACCTGTAAAATCCAATTCAAGCACAATTGTCCTTTAAAACACTCAACATAAAACTGCTCATACAATGCTCGTTATCAATGGATAACAGGTTTTAGAGGGTGAGCTCTCAGTTTCGACAAATCCAGGTTTGAGTCCAGTTCTTCATCTAGTTCCCCCACAATGCTTCTGCAAACAGAGAAGGTAAGAACCGTAAGAGAGAAATAATGAAATCAACTTATGCAATTAAAAAATTAAGTGGACTAATTAGTATTTAAATGATTTAGTGGAACTATTAAAATAAAACATACATGTTATCGCCCCTTATGATGTATAAACCCAACACAAGTTGCTGGACACCTTCCTGCAAATCAGAGTAAAGGCTAAGAGACTCGATACTGTAAATGTTACTTTAAGAGGCAAAGAAAAATAGGATATTACAAGAAAAAAAATGTCAGAAATATTTAGCGTTTAGCCGTCAAGAGGGAGGAAAAAGGACATTAACATTCATGATTTTATTCTCAGCAATATGCAGTAAATTATGTGTTACAGCAGAAAGAAATTCACATAGTTAATTTCATTAATACCAAAACTGAAATGCATTCTATCCTCCAATGAGGAAAGAGGAAATAAGGAAGACGGAAGACGGAAGACGTATCACAAATAAACATCCACATCAACCTGTTTTTATTTGGCAAATGCTTACGCATTTTGTGAGAGTGACTAAATTGGCAAACTTATGATATCTATGATTAAGGTTCTAACATAATTCAGAATCCGAATCCTTCAATCGATGGATGGAGTTGCAGGATAGCAAACAAAAATAAAGCTACTTGGTGGAGGAAAGGCCAGTAAATCCGTGAAGGCACGAAGCAAAGCAAAACAATAGAAGATCAATAAACAAATAACTAAAGAAAACATTCTTTTCTACTATTTTAAATCTAAAGTATGTTAAACTGTTTCAAGGAAACCTAAAAGCCCTCAAGGACAGATATATATATATATAGAAAAGAAGATTTAAGAATATCCATGATTTTTCTACAGAATCAAATTCAAACCTTGGTGGAATAAACCCGTTCATGAGATTCATCAAGAATTATATTTGTAGCCTGGTCAAAACCTTTTAAAACTCCCTGAAAAAGAAACCAAAATAGTCAGTGTGCCAAGTGAATTTTATTAAAATAGAAAAAATATTAATAATAATTGCGACAAATTTTGAGTCTCACCACTATGTTGCGCCCATCATTTGTGATAACTGAAATTGTTTCTGCAGAAAAACAAAAGTATACAAACATAAATGCACCTAGAAGATCTCCTTCTTTAGTAAAGATAACTATGGGTTCCTATTCATTTTCAATAATAATCGTAACCATTTTTTAAGTGCACATTATTGCCAAAATGCATGCTGATTAAAGAGAAGATGGAAGGGTTTAATAATTACATACGGTCTACAAGAGATTCAAGCCCAGGTCCACCTGACATTTTGTGAACTCCAACAATAGTAACAAGCTGGGTGTCTTAACAGCAGTGCCAGTCACACCCTTACAAAATCTGCTGCAAAGAAAAGCATATCAAGTCACATTAGAGAATCGCCGCATGGTTCAAAATGGAAAATGATAACTTGATGAAAGACAAGAACAATAAAGCCACTGCACAATTGCAATAAGAATTAAAAGAGCAGGTATTCTTAAGCTTATGATGGACATGCTCCTTCCGGTATTGCCTTTTTTTTTTTGAAACACCTACAATGTCATTTTCTCATTAAAATACTAATTATGCCTTTTACCTCCAATTTTGAAATAGTATCAATTTATTCTAGCGATAAAAAGCATATAGAACTGACTGTGCTCAACCCAGCAAATTTCTAGCATATTTAATAAAGTATTTCAAATTTAATATTTGTAACGAACTTATTGTGACATGTTTAAAAAATTCCATGTATAATTTTGTGAAATATAGCAATCATTACCCCTGATTAGGTCAGAGTACTGTTATGAATTAGACCAAGAGAAGGGGGGTGAATAGATCTTATGGATATTTACTTGAATTTTAACTAACTTCTAAATCATTGTTGATTGTCGTTTGAAATTCATTTATTTAGCTACTTTGTTATTTAATTCTCAATCCCACAATCACATAAAACATAGAAAATAATTAGAGGGATAAGAGATACAAGATTTATATCTGAATTGCAAGAGATCCACATACGGTAATCTGGTGGACCTCACTCACCCTAATAGTAAATACTAAATAGCCTATCCAATGAAAAACTCAGAGATTTACTTTAACAGCAGCTAAATAAAATACCATCAAGCGAATGCCCAATTTACGAAAACAGCAATTATATAAAGGAATTTCAGTGGAAAAAAATCCCCATGATCAATCAATCCCCTTGGAGATTTCCTAGTAGAAGGTTTGATGAATTCAAAGGAAAAGAAAAAAAAAGAAAAAAAAAAAGTAACATCAATGGAAACCAGTGACATATAAGTGAGAGGTGACATGAAATTTCTTCTACAGTGGTGAAATATCTGAGGACATGCTCTGGACTCATTGGCTCAACTAAGGATTGTGTGTGTGATTCTAGGACTCGCAGTGCAAAACGAACGACCCGGAAAGAACAAGAGAGGTCTTCCATGAGCATGGATCAGAAAGAAGGAGTTTTCATGATTTATAATCTTCAAAGTAGCATTGCATTCCACCATACAAAATGGCAAATCATTGATAAGTTGAGAGGCACCAAAAAGTACTTCAATTATAAATTTATGAAAATTATAATTACAAGGTCTACTTGTATTCAAGAAGATGCCAAACTTTTATCTCAGCAACACCATTCGGCTTGGAAGGGGAACAAATGTACCTTGGTGTTCAAAGTAAACTCAGGTACTCCTAACAACAAGATATCCGTATTTAAAGAAAGACCAAATGAAAAGAAAAAAAAAAAAAAAGTAACTCGGTGCCCAAAAATAAACTCAGGTGCCAATAACAAAAACAACAAAATATCAGCATTCAAACAAAGATGAATTTCAAGTAAGGCCCAAATAATAGTGATTAATCCTGTTATAATATGTTTAGGTAGCTGGCAAGTTCTTCTAGGAAGTACAGACGGAACAGGAAGATCAATAAACGAACATCTCAAGAACCAGTTATAGCAGTGGTTTGTCATCTACATAGGAAACATGTTGAAAAGCAGTGAACATTGCAACACATCCAAAAGCAAAAAAGTGAAGAAAACAAAACAAACAATGCTAATGTTGGCTACATATTATAAAATTCATAGGCAAACCCAACCCCGGCATCGATTTCCGAATCAGGGTCATCGAGTCGACTCATAAATGACATATACTCTACGTAGAAGGCTAGTATACTATTGCGGTTTAGTTTGGGAATTTTATCGAACGGTTGGTGCGCTATTTCAAAACAATCGTGCGTGCTTGTTCGTGTGTGATGTCGATGGAAATTTCTGAAAGAAGATGAGATAGGTCGGAATTACCTCCTGATTGTGGAGAGAGAGAGAGACGGCTCAGTTGGTGCTTTCAAGGAGATCTCTGTGGCGTTTTGGGTGAAAGAAACTCCTATTCCTCCTTTCGACAACTCAACTTGTGGGACGGGTCCGAAGAAGCAAATTACGTAGTTGAGAAAAAAAATGGGGACGAGGGTTATAATTATATATAAATGAAAATTATGAAAGCAAACTCTTTTTTTTTTTTTTTAAAAAAAAAAAAATAAATAAGTGAAAACAAACTATTGAAAGGCAATTAAGAGAGGAAAGTGAATTTTTTACCATGATAAAAATAAAAAAATAATGAGGAAAATAAACCAAAGCCAACGTTTTTGTAATCCTGTCTCTTCCTCTTCTACCCCTTGAAATGGAACATTGATAGTTCATGTTTGGAGTATAGTTATATATTCCTTAAAAAGAAAAAGAAAAAAAAAAAGTTCTTGTTAATTTTAGTTTGACTAAATTAAAATGAAGAACCTTTCAACCCCCTCTAGGTCTTTGGGTTCATAGTACACTAGCATAAATTTATTTTTTTAATTGAAATTAGAATTGTTTCACTGAAAATTAATTATAAATATGTTATACTTTTAAAAATTGGCGTTATACAATTTCAAGGATTTGAGATAGTACTTTGTTGGTTTGATTATGACTTCTTGAAGAAAAATTGTGCTATACAACTCACTAATTCATCCAAAATGTTACCATAGAATGCATTTGGCCCAACATTTCAACCAAAATGTCGGATTTAAAAAGTATTTTCCTTTGAAGAAAAAATTTCATATTGAAAACTCTCACAACAAAATTTCAAATAATTATTATGAACAACAATTTATTTTTGGATAAAGTACAATCACACTCCTTGAAGTTTTAGCAAAAGGACATTCATAAAAAACTTACCTGTTTTTCGGACAAAGACACCCCCTGAAGGTTCAAAAATAGATAAAGACATCCCTTTACATGAAAAATTGACCAAATTACCCTTTGACCGTTTAAGAGACTTTTTTAACTTTACATTTAATAAATTAGACCAATCTACCCTCATGAATAATTTATGCATAAAAAAAAAGTTAAAAAAAAAAACTTTATATTGTTCACTTTTTTTTTTTTTTTTTTAACTTTATAAATGTCCCAACTTCTTAAAAATGTAGATGTCTAAAATGATTTTTTGATTCAATACATATATTTCAAATAAATTATATTTTGTTATTACTTCTTTTCTTTTTCTTTTTGTAATGCCCCTAGTTTTCAAAATGATAAAATGGAAATTTAATTTTGATTTTATTGCGTTTTTATTTAATTATGTGACTTTTGTGTTTTGGGTTCTTAATTGATTAATGGTGAATTTGTTTTTGTGTATTTGCTTAATTGATTAATTGATTATTTTTGTGTATTTAAATTAATTATTAATTAGAAATTATTTTAATTTAATTGTTGATGTGTTTGGAATGTTTTATTTAATTATATTTATTTATTTGTTTTCCTTGGTTTGTTTGTTTTAAATGTCTTATTTAATTATCTATTTAATTGTAATAGACGTAACTGTTTGATCATTTGTTATAAAGTGTTTGCGTATACTTAAGTTTAGGGTTTTGTTTTATGTAATTAGGTAAGCCGACGTATAAGTAGGCTGGGATCAGGATTAGGGTTTTTACAGAAGCCTATATATATAGAACAATAAATGTCTGCAAGGGTTTGAGAAACCCTATTCACGTATTATTTGGAGAAGGGGAAACAGAGGCTCTAGAATAGTTTTGAGAGTAAACAGAGAGGGTCTTGGGAGATTAATAAAGGGAATTGCTCGTGGATTGAGCCAAGGAGCAACCTAGGTAGAGAGCAGTGGATAGAGGAGGAAGAAATGGTCTTGGAGTTGCCGGATTATAGAGACGACATTTTAAGGTTTCAAACCGAAACCTAAAGGCAAGTTTCATTCTATCTCATTCCTGTAAACTTATGTTCTGTGCATTCTATATAATCTCCAGGAAGTTAATTAAACTTTAAAACGGAATTTTGATGCATGGTAACAGACTTTATATTGTTCGTATGTTTAGGTGAACTAAAATTGTGTTCTTTGCATAAATTGTTTTATTCGGTTTTAAATTTTTGTCAAGCAATGCTTGTTGATATTTGAGGAGTCTTTAGGATGGTTGGGACTTAATTGAACCCTAATAACTTTAAAAAAATTCTGGAGCAGACGGTTGAACTTTGCCGGAAGCGGAGAAGGCAAACAAAGGAAGCATAAACTGTTTCGATTATGGTTTATGTTTTTGTCAATTAATTCATACTGGAATTGGAGAAGTTTTCTAGGATTGTTAGGACTTAAATTGAACCTTAAAAATCTTTAACAAAAGTGGGACAGAGGACTGAAGCTTTGCCGGAAGCGGAGAAGGTAAACAGAGGAAACGGATAAAGAAAAACGGAGGCTGAGAGAGTGGAGGAGGCTCCACCCCTCCATTGAAGTGAAGCAGGCTCCACACTCTTATGGAGGCGGCTCCAAGAGGGTAGAGCAGGCTCCAAACTTTTGTGGAGCCGGCTCCTCTTTTGTAAATGCACAGTAAGTACGTTTTGCTGATTTTTTTTTATTTTATTTCAGGGTCTTAAATGAAATATCTGGAAAGTGATGTGGGGTTTTAAATGTTTAAAATTAACCTATTAAAACCTTAAATTAGTTAGTATATGCTGGTGTGTTAATATTAATGGACATCATGAATTATTAATGATTAATGTGCATGCTGTCCAGGAAGACTTGAATTTTCAGTTTATTTAGCCAATTGAATGGACTGAAATGAAAGATGTTTTAGGAATATTATATCAAAGATATATAACGCATAATTAAGACCCAGGAATGTGGGTGTGTGATCTGGAAAGGAATGTCATGAGATTTAGATATCAATTTACATGCCGTCAAGGATTGTGGAAGATTTCATTACTAGTCTTTGTTTCAGTGATTTAAATGAACTAGTATGAGAGTATCGTTTGGGATTTCTAGTATAATGTCTTCAGTTCATAATTCTAATAATCATTATACCATGCTATGGATGTTAATTGATGAACTGTTTTAATTTCTGTTTTGTCAATTGGATGGATATTGATAATTTAAATTGTTTATCAGTACTCTAACAGTTTAAAAGGAGTTTTTATGATTATAATCATATACTGGGTGCATGATAGGATCTTATTAATATCTGATTTCTACTATGTTGGTTTATGGATTTACTTAATGTTCATTTGAGTGTGCATCGTTATTGGATCATATGCATTATATGCACCGGTATGGAACGGTGGCATATCAGAGATGGATTAGATCAAAAAGCTAAGTCCTACCTCTTCATACATACGGAATGGATTAACTAAAACAGTTAAATTCTACATGGATGCATGTCCTGTCAACTAAAACAGTTGAACGACATAATGTATATTTATTTTATCTTTCTGCATTAGGAAGGAATTTATATATATACTTATGGTACCGTGATACGAGCTTGAGTCTCCTGATCACGGTTAGGGTGCGTATATCACAAAGGTTAAGTAGCTATGTAATATTTCCAATTTTCAGCATTTTCCATTTTTCTGGAAATTTGTGAAGACAAGGGTATTTTCATCCTTTCTCTTTTCGTCCGGGATTGTGGTTGGGTCCTGTTGCATTTTTCACATTTTAATTTATGTGAATTATGTGACAATTTTATGGTGATGTATATTATTGTTTGTGTGGTGTAGATAATTAAAGCATAAAGATAAAGCAAAAAGAAAAGCTAGTGGCGGGACCAGCCACTCACACCACAAAAGGTCTAGAGACCATTTATATATATATATTTTGCTCCATCTTTCTCTCTCCCCATTGAACTCTCTCTTCTCTCTCATTTTCTTTTTTTTTCTTTTCTTTTTAGAACCAAAATTGGGATCTTGATTCCTTCTTCATTTCTTATCGGAATTGAGTGCCGTTTGAGGCAAAACGACGAGCTCTACGTGCTAGTACCAGAAATTCCAGCTTTTGGTCCTCTTTGGGAGCTCGAATTTAAGAACCCATTTCTAGGGATTTTGCTCATTTTGAGGTAGGGGCATCTTAATCCACTCCTTTCTTGTTCTATTGTGAATTACACCTCCTTGTTGTGTCAAACATGTTTAATTGGGAGTTAATTGTATCTATGATTGTATGAATGATGTCTAGAGAATTTTCAAGAGCTTGATTATGGCTTGTTTCATATGTAAAATATGTTTAGATGTTGTTTTATCATGCCCACTATGTGTTAACATGCTGAAAATGACTGGAGAACATGTTTATTTAGATTGTGCCAAATTTTCCATTGTCATAATATTGAGATTATATGTACATCCATGCACATGTCATTGGGATGCATGAAATGGGAGAATTTGTCTTGAAATGAAAATGGGGGAAATTTTGGGAGAAGAGTTTTGTCAAATAGTTTTGATAAACCCGGTCACTGCGGGGTTACCAACGGGTCAGAGGTTAATATAGCCTAGAGGGAACTAGGGAGTCGCCCTAGCGTGGTTGAGCTATTCGGGCCCCTCGATGACGCTGCGGGGTTACCAAAGGTCTAGGGACGATAGCCAATCCTCCTCTCATGTCGTGGCGGGGTTACCAAAGGGCGGGCTGTCTTAACATTTGAAAGTAATGGTTTTGTGAATGGAAATGGGGAGTGGCATTAGCATGCATTGCATTTCATTGCACTGTATGGTTTATAATTGGAATTGACGTGCATATTGTTTTAATTCCCTATATTGCATGATCCCTATTTCCCATTGGCCTATGCTTTGTTTGGATTCACAAAGACACAAGAATTGTGTCTTAAGTGTCACCTACTGAGCTTTATGCTCACCCTACTATTTATATTATTTTTTTTCAGGTCTTGGAAATGAACCGGTGGACGACAATCCACATCAAGCTTGAAAGTTGTTAGAAGGTTGTTTGCTATTTTGTATTTTGACCGTTTTATGTATATTCATAGTTGTGGGAATGTAACTAAGTTAGTATGCATGGCCTTGTAACTTAAGAACGAACTTATCTTTTGTTTGATGTAAATGAAAGTAATGGAATTATGGTATATGTTTCCATGCAATTGTATCATGTAACGTTGTAAGACAGGGACTTTAAATCTTAACCATGTATTTTGGGACTGTAATTATGATAA